TTTGGACGTTTTTGGGATTTGACGGAAAATTGGAATTAAAAAAAATTGATAAAATATGAAATTACCAACCCTGTAATTAGGTGCCGTCAAAGCGCACTAAAAGCCTGCAGATCTGGTTTCCAATAATAGTTTTTTTCATGAGTTGTCCAAATTTTCGAAGCACCGGAGGTGCGTTACACGCTAGTAAGTATTATTTCCTCCAGATCGCTCAAAACAATAAAAACCTCAGAAAAGAAGTTTTTCATGACAACATTTTTTTTCGCTCAAAAATTGTTTTTGAATTTTCAATAAACGACGTCGAATGTATTTCTGGACGTGTTTCCGCCAATAAAACAGCATTCAGACATTTTTTGGTGGTTTTTAATTTGTAGTCTCTTCGAAACTTTTCCATTTTCTTTGGACTAAGTGGTTTCTTTTTCTGTCTGCTAGCTTGCAGTGATATTTGTAGTATCGCAGTTAACGAGAAGCTCCGCTCAATCGAGCAAAGAGAGCGAGTTGCACTGTGGGTGGCGCAGACGGATCTGCAGATACTGTTTTAAGAAAAAAATCTAGCAAGCGAGTTAATTTTCTAAGTGATCTGATCAAATGTCGTTTTCTGATTGATAGAGCAAACCTGGTTTTGCATATTTTTTTTTTCAAATTTCTTGTTACGTGCATTTAACTTGATTTCAACCAGGTTCATTTCTCATTACATTGGCGAGAGCATGTGTCTTGTAATTGGGAGCTGGACTTTTTTCCTGTTAACACTTTTTCTCACAAATCTGTTACAAAACGTAGTGTATTTGTACGAACAAAGCTTGGTTGGTGAGCGTAGTGTTTTAGTACGTAGCTGCTGTTTTTCGAACCTAACTCACAAATGAAAGTGCTCGATCTGTCGCATAGTATAACGATCTGTAGCATTGAAACTTTCATAGCATATGTTCTCTGCTTCAGTTGTGACTAGTGTTTGTGAGTTATTAATTGTCTGTGGCTGAGTGGTTAGTGCTTGTGACTATCAATCTCGGAGTCGCAGAATCGAATCCGACACGTTGCCGAACTTTTACTTATTCGAGGTTTATTTCTAATTTTTCTTATTTCACGTTATAGAGTTGCTTTTTGTCCTGTTCTCGCTAGTGTTTGGGAAGCGCAGCTTCGCCTCTGGGTTGATAACTTTTTACTTCCAAACTCCTTCCGACTTTGTATAAAGGTAACTTGGTTTTTTGCAAGCATGAAATTGAAGAATGTTTCTTAGTTTCATGCAATTGATAATTTTTCGTTTATCTGCTTATGTTTTGTCGGCCCAGTTTTCACATCAAGTTGTGGAATTTTCTAAGTTGTATGCAATTTCCGTTTTAATTGAAAGTGTTTTTGATTTTCTCCTGTAATTTGTAATTTTACTACTAGCACGTACCTAGTATAATTTACTTTTTTTTCCGCTTTAAAAGTTGATATGGCTTAAATAGTTTGAACTAATGTTTATCGGCTTAGACAGCTTAATTTTTGTCGTTTGAATGACAAAATTGATTACTGTATTAAAAATGCTACAGGTCGTTCGTGATGAAAAAGTTAGTTTTAAAATTTATTGCTCAAATTTCTATGACAAACTTTTTATGGCATTTTTAAAAATGTTTTTGGGATCATGGTTATCTATTCGCGTTTGGTCAGCTTGGTAAATTTTCTGTGTGAAATTTTAATTTTGAAAGTTACGCCGTCTGGGTTGAAATTATTAGAAAAAGATACCTCACAGAACAGTACTTTGTTCCATTATTTTTAAATTACGCTTGCGATTAGCAAGCGAAATCAATTCGGAATATAATTTTTGTTTTCGAGTTAACAACTTGTTCAACAGAATCATTTGGTATCTTGATTCATATGGAATCCAAATTTCCTTGGCACACTTAGTCTGGATTTAAAGAAAACGTCTGGGATGGCAAAGGTCCTGGGCTCGAATCTGACCAGGACCTGTTTCTTTTGTTCAAACGGGAAATATTCTGTTTCAAAACAATTTTCGGTTTTATATTTGTCTTCTGTTTTTTTTTGGCTTAATTGCCATATCTTAGAATTTTTGCTGTACACAGTTATCATTGTAGTTGCTCTTTACGTTTTAATTTAATCCTGCAATTTATAATTGTACTAGCCTTGACTGCTTATTTTTTTCGCTTATAACATTTTTCGGCCTAAATGATTTCGGCTTATATTTTATCGGCTTTCCCACCTAAATTTGGGTCGTGCGAGGGAACCATAATTTGTATGATGTCCTCCGTCCGTATCGAACAAAAGATTAAATATCTCAGAATAGAATTTATAGTTCAAAGTTTTTCATGACAACAGTTTTTTTTCGCTCGATTTTTTTTTTGGAATTTTCACTAAACGACGTTGAATGTGTTTCTGGACGTGTTTTCCGCAAATGGAACATCATTCCAGGCAACATTTAGAAGTTTTTAAGTTGTGGTTTCTTCGAAAATTTTTCCGTTTTCTTTGGACTTAATTGCTCTCCTTTCCTGTCTGCTAGCTTGTAATGCTATTTTTGTGGTATGGCAAGTGATGCGAAGCTCCGCTTCGCCCTTGTATTTAAATATCTTAATTTTTCCTTCCGACATTTCCACATCCCGGGAGTTTAAGTCTCGATTGGAAACGAGACATTTCGTGATCAAAACAAGCATATCGTGGTCCTCCTTTGTACCATTTTGAGATATCCATTTTTGGCTGACTGATCCTAAAATTTTTCTAAAGGCGCCTAGGGCCAATATATACTAAATTTAAGGGCGGAGAGCGCACCAAAAAAACTATCAGTGGTTGCACATCTTGTCTCCGAATGCGACTGCTGAAATTATTTCAGTTTCTGAGATGTGACGTTTTTTCATAATTTCTTCAAACATTTTTTAAAAACTTGATTTTAAAAAGCTTTACGAACTTAAAAATCTCCAACCTAATAGTGGGGTGATCTTAGTGTACTATCAATGGTTGCATATTTTGTGCCTCCAAGTTTGACTGCTCAAGTCATCTTAGTTTCCGAGATATGCCGTTTCATGATTTTCAAAAAACTTCAGACAACATTTTCAAAAAACTTTGATCTACGACATTCTCAACATTTTTAGTTTGAAATTCTCAACACTATTGTGGCGGGCTGCTAAGGACGTCGTAAAAGGTTTCTATCTTGACGCCAAATATGAATGCTCAACGTCCTTCTTTTTTCCAGATATGACGTTTTTCTGATCTTTCAAAAAATTTTAAAGTCTTATATTTCAATAAATGCTCTTCATCTTTTGAAATTATCAACTCTTTGGTGGATTGATATCAGATTACTACCAGCAGTTGTAGATGCAGCCTCCATTCCAATTTTTTGTTTTTCAATTTTTCTCAAAGTTTTTCTTGATATTTGAAAAAGTTTCTTGAAACTAATAATCATGCTAAGAAAAAGGAGTATGTTCAAAGTAATTGCGCTATTTTAAACGCTTATTGATAGCAATTTATATACATCGAGCTAATGAAAATAAAGAGTTCAGTTAAAACAGAATTTCATATATGAATTTCATATATGAGTGATTCTGCAAATGTCATCGTTTCAAAACTTTTTTAAAATTAAAGTTCAGTTGTATGCTGTCGGTCGTTTCAGGGTTTTGTTTCTGAATAAAATGCGAAGATCTGAAACCCAGTAGTTTTAGAGATTCGACCATTTGAATTTCAATAGAACCTTTCAGTTCAATTGAAATTATTGTCATCATTCAATTTTTAAATATAAATCGTTGTTGGCTGCCCCGTCTATTGTTACGGTTGTTTTTTCATTTATTGTATTTTTAACGTTCATTAGTCTGTTTGAAGCACCAGAGGTGCGATACACGCTAGTTTGCGTTTAATTTGTCCACTAGTGTAATGCGACAGTGAAATTGCCTAATAAGTGAGTAACTTCTATTTGCGCGTTAGGTTATAAAAAAAGAATGTTCGTAATAACACTCTCGCAAGTGTAAAAATCAGAATCACCCGAGAACAAAACGAAACTATCTGCACGAGCAAGACCTTGTAAATTTTGGAGCGCGGTCCCTATAAATTTCAAGGAAAACTGCGGTATTAGCTATTATCTTTTTGCCCAATGGTTTTCTGCGCGTTTCTGCGAGTTTGTTGAATAATGTTACAGCACTTTGAATTATAGAATATTCTCAAGGTAGATTTCGTACAAATAATGAAAATTATTTGAAGCTTAATAAAAATTAAGAAAAAAGAAAACTGAAGTGTTGCTAAGAAATATAACTTACTGCAGTTTGCAAGGATTGGGACAGTGTTCGTCTTCGTCTATGCCCTTGGCACAGTTAAGTGCATGATATAATAAAGATGCCTGCTCCACGGTTCTTTTAGGGTTCGACCTAGTCTTTGTGGCTTTATTGGCTAACTCTGTCTCTTTGATCGCGAACTGCAACACTTTCTCCCAGGACAAATCTCCGGTATGTAAAATAGAGTCCGGTTTTGTGATCAAAGGTCCGATGTCGAATCGTAAGTTTTCGTACCAGTCCGTTGGCCAAATCCACTCGGCTGATTTTCCAACTCCTCGCCAGAGCCAGTTGATCTGGCTCAGTTCCAGAGGGGTTTGCGGCCAGTCGGGATAACTTGTCCAGTATTGCATCTCATCGCCTGTCGTATCTTCTGTGTCAATTTGACCGGTTGTGAAAATAAGAGCGACCAAAATGCTATTAAAGAAAAGTGTCGACATTCTTGTAGGGTTTCACAATTTGAGTTGGTGAAATGTTGTTTGATAATGTTTTGTAGTTTTTATTGTGGTTTTGCCGCAACTGAAATTTGATGGGCTTGGTTGACGTCTGATGTATGATTTTTTTTTATGGAGAGAGAGAGAGAGAGAGAGAGAGAGAGAGAGAGACATTTTTGGCACTGCCTTCAGATCTATCGGTCATTTAATGCACTGGCTGTTTATGTGTATGAATAAATTAAAGATGGGGCACTTAAAAACATTTAAGAACACGTTTGTAGCAGTTTCTTTATTGTATTGAATTTACTCTAATGTCAGATGTTAATGTGATCATGTACCATCCGTCCAACACTCTGATGACATTTGCAGCTGACATCGGCGAGGACAGACAGATTGAGTTGCAGAAAATGGTTGACAAATTCATCAAGTCAGACGAGACCTGTGAGATTTTTTTTATCTTTGTCTCGGAAGCAGGGTGGGTGTTTAAAACGGCTTTTATTACCCTTGCGATAGCAAGGGTATTGCAATCGGGTACTAGACTGTTTTCCCGTAAACAACTTTGTCCACAGGACTCACTTCTAGACTCCTTCTAAAATCCTCTATGCTAACCCTACTTCTCGTGGTTGCAAATATTGAGCATGATTGAATTTGTTGTTAAATGTCCGTCCTTTTCAAAATATGCTTTTAATGTTGGTTGTGATTTTTTGAATTCGATTTGTTTAAATTTTGTTATTTTTTTGTCATTTTTTCGGCTTAATAGGATCGGCCCTATTTTATATCGGCTTAGTGGCCTAGTTTCGAGTGGTTTCAAGAGAAAAATAGTTTTATGTTCACCTCTGGATCGCACAAAATGCTGAAAATCTTAATAGAATTTAGAGTTCAAGTTTTTCGTGACAATTTTTTTGGTTTTTTTTTCGTCTTGATGAGTTTCGGTCTGTATTATATCGGTTTAATGGCTGCACATTGCGCCTTCCTATTGGCGGAAAAAGTTTGTGTGTGCGTGTCTGTGTTTTGAGGGTGAGGGAGACTTAATAACTTCTTATTAGTCTTAAAATTTTTTGATTTTTTGTGATCGTTTCCTTTTTTTTCGGCTTGATAATAGATTTTGGCCTATATTACATCGGCTTAGTCGCGACTTATTGCTTCGTTTCACGAGCTGTGTATTATACGTGTTTTGAGGGTGTGGGGACTTGATAACTTTTGAGTGGTCTTAATTTTTTTTTGCTTTGTTTTTTTCTTTTTTCAGCTTAATAGGTTTCGGCCAATATTATATCGGCATAGCGACCGTATATTGTTTCATTTGACGCGTGAGTAAAGTTTGTGTGTGTGTGTGTGTGTGTGTGTGTGTGTGATAAAGTATTGTGTTTTTTTTAATGTGTGGGGGACTTGACAATTTGAAAAAAAAATTTCGACCGATGGGTTTCTGCTAAGGTAGTTCCGGCTTTGTTTTCGCGTGATAACTTTTCTTTCGATGCTAGTTCCACATTCTATTGTCTTGGCTCGTTGTTGTTTCAAAACTTGGCTTATCGATAGATCTAGTTCGAAATTTTCGAATTTTTTTTCGACTTAGCGGCTTTCGTGTTTTGTATCGCAAGTGGTGCGAAGCTCAGCTTCGCTTCTGTGTCCAATTATATAATAAAGAATGTTTTATACGTTAAAAACATGTTTTTTTTAAAAAGGTCTTTGTTTCTGCTACTTTCTTCAAAATTACTAATCAGTAAAACATGAAAAAAGGCTATCCTTAAACAATCTATTTTGCCTGCTTTTTCCACATCCAGTTGCTTTCGCAAGGACCCGGCAAAACGGGAGTTTAAAATTGCGAAATCAAAATCCCGCGAAATCCCGTTTTGAAACACTAGCGCATTTCAAAACGGGAAAAGTTTTGTTATAACTCTCATTTTGTTTTAAACATTTTTTAAATTCTGCTTTAAGCTGTTTTTACTCATTTATTTTAAACGGTTTAAAACAAAGCCCCCACCTAGTATTCTGATTCCGAATACCAGAAAACAATTTCATTCATTCAGAATAAATTTCGGATTGCCTCCACTGTAATTTGGGAAATTTTCTCTGAACTCGACCCCATCTGAATTTTATCTGCGGAACTTGATTTGAGTGAAAAAAAACACCCTGCGCTATATTTCCTTCCCACCCTTGGGAAAGCTGGAGAATGGAGGGAAGTTACTAATATACGACCTTTTGCCCTGAACCGCTGATGTTGCCCTGAATTAGAGCCTCATGCAATTTTTGCTGTGGATAACGAGTAATTGTTGTTTTTCATCCGTTTTTGCTGGACAGCGATTAAAAATAGCTTGTTTTTTTAGCGATGACTTTTCCAAGTAGTCTCTCGAACCAAGACAGACTGTATCTTCATCAGGTGGCACAGAAGGCCAACTTGAAACACAACAGTACAGGGTAAGCAGAACGCCATTATAATCAGTTGTCTTAACTTTTCGCAATGAACGTCAATTTTGTTTAAATTTTACTGCCTGGATGACAAACAATCATTGTAGTGCGTCAAATGATACATCATTTTAACGACCTTTCAGTTGTGATTCGAACGACTTCAAAAATTTTCAAGTAGTTTTCTCAGTGTAGAGAAAAAAGAAAAACTTGTTTGACTTTTTCTTTTTAAATGTAATTTAGAGGGAATAAAGCGAGCAGGCTTTCAATAGGCCGATAAGCTTTTTTTAAGCTGTGAAAATTGAATTTTTTGTTTCGTCGGCTCAGTGACCTAATTTTGCGTTGTGTAATGCGGAAAATAATAGGGGAGCGTAGAAATTTAGAGTTTCAGAAATTGGAAAAGTTTCGTATCACGAATTTTTTGTTTTCGGGAGTTTACCCATTTTTTCGGCTTAGTTGCCGCTCGGTGATAGTTTCTGAATACTTATTTAACGCCGGCATTTCTGTTTCTGTATGTTTGTCAAGGTGGTTTTTTTAAGTGTTAATAAACGTAGTGAACGTTTTTGGTTCTTTTTCACTTTACCCCCACCTTTCAAATTTTCTAATTTTATTGTTGTTATACCTGTTATTATTACGTGTTAAGTGCGTGATGTTATGATGTGAAGTATGAAGAACAAATCGGTTCACAATTGTTAGTTTGTTCACTATGCCAAGTTAATTGCATTCTGACAATGTTAAACTAGTTTTCTTACACTTGCGAAGCAAAGTGTATTAGTACGAACTTTCTTTTTTCCAACAAGGTCGGAAGTAAAAGTGGTACTTTAGGTGGCCTTTTTGAATTGGTAGTCTGCGGCAGCAGTGTTTTATCATATGTGCTGTGACATTTGATTAGTAAAAAAATAACACAGCTGAAGCATTTTAATTCATCAAATGAACCGAAAAAAGTTATTCGTTTCAAAGAGCAGTACAATGATAAAGAGCTCGATTTCAGAAATTTTCCAACTCAATGTATCTCGTAATTTTTGTGAAATGCATTTATACATAGTTTGGTTTTATGCTTCCAATTTTGTACATTCAAAGTTGTGTCTTTTTGTATTACTTTTGCTGCATCGAATTGGCAATTTATTAGCATAAGTAGCTGCGTTATTGGTGGCTAGTTTTTGGGGATTTTCAGCATTCGTGGCTCAGTGGTTAGTGCATAAGACTCAAATTTGCCAGATCGCAGATTCGAATCCGACACGGAGCCCAGTTTTTGCTAATTCGAGGCTTATTTCTACTTTTTCTTATGTCACTTGATAGAGCTGCTTTTTGGTCGTGTTTTTGCATGTGTTTCCGAAGCGCAGCTTTGCCTCTGTCAAAACTGAAATTTAAAGGGGGAAAGTGGCAAAAAGCCCATTTTTTTCAGGAAAAAAGTGTTAGAATTCGTTCACGCTCAAATTTGAATTATTGCGTTTCGTCGTTTGATTTTTTTGAGCTCAGCACATGTTCTTTAATGGAAGGCAAACGCAACTATCGAACGGAAAAAGTTGTAAGGTCACGAAAACGTGATTGACTTCTGGGTTTCGAAAGCTGACATTAAGTTTAGGATTCCCAACAGAGCAAAATTTTGTATGTGATAGTTTTCTCCAATTGGGTAAGTTTCGTCTAAAACTGCAAAAGAGGTTTCTGAAATTCAAAAGATGAAAAGTGGAAATTTTATTTAAAAGAACAGTCATGTCTTAAGGTTTCTTTCGTTTTATGACACTTTTCCAACTGTATGTAGGCTTATTTTTGACTTCTTGACTCTCCGTTCATTTTCTGTCTGCTACCTTGCAAGGCTATATTTGGGTGGTATTGATATGCAGATAGTGACTCGTTGATAAAATTAATTTTTAAAATTTCAAGTTTTGTGATGTTTTCTACAGTAAATATTTTGATGGTTTTTGAAATTTGTACTTGAATTGTTTAGGTGGAAAAAATGGAAGAAGTTCATAATTTTGATTCATTGTTTTCTTTTTATTATTGGTCTATATTTATTTTACAAGGTAGGTCGATGTTTGGTTGACGCAAGGTTTGGTCACCCTGATTGCAAATGGAAGCTCCGTTTCGCCTCTGTTTTAACCTTCCCTAAGGGTGTTTATCGATTCACTTGATGACTTCTTTTTAGTAGGAGTGGGGTAAACAGGAAGCTGACGTTGACAAAACAAGTGAACGTGGACTCGTACTTCGTGAATGTGAATGCTGACCCTAGAGCTGTCAAGCCACTCGGGAGGGCACTGCACGTTGTAAAAGAATTGGACATGCGAACCAGTTTCAAGCTCCAATCTAATCCCAGTTTTCACAGTGAGTTACTCATGCCGATTGTTGAACAGTTACGTTTTATACCATGTTTAGATGATCATTTACCACACAAGAAAGGTTTCAGATCTGTTGTAATGTTAGAGCAAGCGGTATACTAGGCAAACGATCTTTTTGACGCGTACTTAGATTTTGACAGTCCGCAAGTAAAAGTTATGTTCTCGGTGCAAAAGTTACTTGTTTATTTATACAGAGGAAAGAAATTCAGCTTCGCAATATGGTTATGAAGTTCGTCTGTGTCAGGGGGTACCTCCCTTTGCCGTTCCGGACTCCTCAGTGAGCAGATTCAGACAGAAACTTCCCATCCACTCGTATAGATCGGCAGTGCTGGAGAGCATCACATGTAATCAAGTGTCGCTGATAGCGGCCGAAACTGGTGCTGGAAAAACAACACAGGTTAGAGTGCTTTTCATCTGTTCTTCCACTTTACCTTCAAAATTGTTTTCGGGAAACTGCGATTTTTGGGGGAAATAAACATCCAAGAACTGCGAGGCTCCATATTGGTGGGGTACTAGTCAGAGGCGGATCTACGATTTACTCAACGGTGCGGGCGGAGTTTCAAAAAACTATTAAAAATTTGTTGATTTTTTCCCAGCTCGACCTAATTGATTTTCCGAACTCTCCTAAAACATTCTATATGGTTGTTCGCCAAAATTGGATGTAAAATAGTACCAACGAGGGGATCCTTTGCGTGGTCAGGGGGTTGAAACCCTGAGGAGGTTGTCGCACACGCCCTAAATCCGCCCCTGGTACTAGCTACTATGACGAAGCCACTGAAAAGTTGCAATGATCAGTGTAGAGATTTGAAGCGCTAAGGTCGTCTGAAGGATTTTTGCATTCAACTTGACTTTTTGATAATTCACGAAGATCAGAGTACGTATTTGCTTTGGGGTAGTTTTTAAAAAATCTTCAGCTATTTTTGGACCAAGGTTTTTAAAATATCTGTGTAGGTTCCTCAATACTTACTGGAGTGGCACAGTCTCTACTCGGATGAATGTCTAATTCTCTGCTCTCAGCCGAGGAGACTGGCAGCCATGTCTTCTGCCGAGAGGATAGCCCACGAGAGAAATGAACCCATCGGACAGACGGTCGGATACTGTGTCAAACTCGAAAACAGGTTAGAAATTTGCTCGCGTTTTTTGTTACTTCTGCTCTTTACACAATCAAAGCTTGTGTTATAGTATGAAATTTCTTTTTTTTTCAACATAAGTCGCAAGTATTGTTGCGACAAAACGTGGTGACTTTGAAAGTGTTCATTTTGATCAATAACCATCTATTAAGTACAGCTAATGGTAAAGATATTAACACAGACTATTATATTACAAATAGCACTTTAGCTTCAAGGTATCATGAATCTGTAGCGTAGAGATGAGGAATGAGACCAGCAACAAAATAAGAGGGTTCGAAACTGGGCAGGGTCGGATGTTTTTAATGAACTTTTTCGTATACTTGCTAAAATGCGTCCGCTTCATAAATTGAGGCATGTTAGTTGGTAAATTTTTTTTTAAAATTAACTGCTAATGCGTCATAATTGGCTTGCGTCACTTAGCAATTATGTAGACTCATAATTGGCGTGCGTCTGTTAAGAAATTTTGTAGACTCAAAATTTTACTCGTTCAGTTTTTCCCAGTAGCGTTATCGGTCATATTTTTGCTTGTGTATGTGAAGTGCAACTTCGCCTCTGTGTCAAATTTTGTCAAGTTGAGGAGAAATATGCCATTATTAGTTTGGATGGTAGAATCAAAAATTGCCAAAAAAAATAAAAAGAATTTGATGTTAAGTAATTGAACAATTATTAGAACTGTACAAGGTTATCAAGACATTAGACAATTGATGATAATTCCGCATGATAGTGCACGTCCATAATATCGTTGTCTTTAATTATGTTTTCCACAGCATAGTCAGTTGATTATATAGGTGATTTTGAAATTTTTTCTGGAGGTTTTCGAAATCTGTGATAACCTCAAGTTATCTCGATCGTAATTGTTCCGACTTTCGAAGAAAGTAAGGAATATATATGCTCAGGGTGGTTTTTTTTTAATTCAGACCAAGTCTCAAAAATATTTCCCTTGGATCGATCCCTGGATCTTTGTGGTCCCAGAAGTGTAGCGCTCGCCACTAGACTATCTTGACTTGCAGTTTGCTGTGAAACGCTCACTCATTGACAAACATGACTAAAGCATTGTTATACTTTAATGCTGAAAGCTTAACGAGCATTATATACATGTGCGAAATATCCCGAAAGACAAAATCTTTCCAAATTCAATTAAGGCTGGTTAATTGGTCTTGTTAGTAATTCCATTCACGATTCTTAATATTCAGCTTAAAATTCATGGTTTGTCAATATTTCATTAGCCGAAAACTTCTAGACCAGTTTATGGACAATCGGAACATTCAGGGCTTCGCCCTGATACGAACAGTCTTGTTTTACTTTATCATAATTGCGAAAATCAATGCCCTCTTCATCGATTTGGAACTTTCAGTGCCCTCTTCATCCGATTTTGAACGAGCAGTCTTTTTTATGTTATACAGTTGTTAATGTTCTAGCTGCCGTCATAGTTGTAATTGCAGTTAGGTGGTTCGGTCTTTCCTTTTCTCAAACCAGGAGGTATTCCGTGGTCGAAAGTCATGAACGTTTTGAATACTCTTTTATAGGTCATGTTGATTTTTTTTTCAAGAAAGTCTTAAAAATTGTTCACGCTAAAACTTGATTCATCGTTGCTTCTACAAGCATAGCTTATGTTTTACTATGATTTTTTTCCAACCTAAGTCGAAAATATTGTTGCGGCAAAGTGTGTTCATTTTGATCGAGCTATTACAAACAGCCAATGCTAAGGATATTAACACAGACTATGATATTACAAGTAGCACTTTAGCTTCAAGTTATCAAGGATCTGTAGCGTAGAGGTATGGAAGGAGAGCAGCAACAAAAAAGATGATTCAAACCTGGGCAGGGTCAGATGTTTTTAATGAACTTATTCGTATACTAGTTAAAATGCGTCCGCTCTATAAATTGAGGCTTGTTAGTTGGTAAGTTTCTTTTTTTTTCAAATTGACTGGTACTGCTAGTGCATCATAATTGGCATGTGTCACAAAGCAATTATGTAGATTCATAGTTGGCGTGCGTCACTTAAGAATTTTTTAGACTCAAAGTTTTACTCATTGAGTTTTTCCCAGTAGCGTTATGGGGTATATTTTTGCTTGTGTATGCGAAGTGCAACTTCGCCTCTGTGTTGACTTGAGTTATTTTCAAGTTCAGTCCTTTTACTGTGTTAAAAGGAAGGCAAAATCCACTATCGAACAGCAAAAGGATAAAGGTCACGAAAAACGTGATTGATTTTAGTTTCGAAGGTGGAATTTTTTTTTCAGATTTCCCAGTGGAATAAAAACTTTACTTATTGATCCAGTTTTCTCAAATTGAGTTAATTTTATCATAAAAGTTTCCATCGTAAATTGCTCCTGAAACTTGAAGAGCATTAAGGTCATAAATTTTTTGTTTAAGTTCGAAAGTTGAAGTTTTTTCAAAAAAAAACAAGTCATTATTTTGTTTGTTTCCTTGTGTTCATGACCGTTTTCCAGCTATCTTGTGGCTATGTTTGATAGATTGTAATGTAATTTTTTAATTGTAAGACTGTTGTGTTTAAGAATGAGCGAGGAACTGACCAGGTTGCTCTTCTGTACAACTGGAACTCTATTGAGGATGCTGATCATGGACTCATCTCTGCTATACAGAGTAACCCATCTTGTTATTGTTAGTCAAAAATCTAATGCAATTCTATTAGACAAGCTTCAGTTGTATTTTTGTAAATCTGTTCACAAATGGTAAAGTGTTCAGAATAATCTGCTATACTATCTTGCACATGAACCGTTTTGTTTTTAAAGTTTGAAGTCTGGATCAACGGCAAATGCAATGACATCACATTTTTGCATTTTTTAGGACGAAGTGCATGAGCGAGATCGCTTCACTGACTTCCTTCTCTGTATAGTGAAGAGGTTCTGTGAGCGAAACAAGAAACTCACAGTGGTGTTGATGTCTGCCTCTATGAATGAGAAGCTGCTAAGTGACTACTTCAACAAATGTCCTGTTGTCAGGGTGCCTGGAAGAATGTTCCCAGTGCAACAGTTCTTCCTGGAACACATTCTGCTCAAGTGAGTCATTTAGACTCTCGAGTGAATGTGTTTCTTCTCGACCTCTTTCGTACAGTTTTTAGGACCTACGGTGTAGGGGTGGGTTCTTTGATAAAAACTTGCCTCGCCTATAATTACGTTCAAAGAGTTCTGGAGTGAGAAACTGTACTGAGAGGTCAAAACTTTTTGCTATTCAGACCAAATCAAATAGAGAGAAGAACGGGTTTTACTTATATGCTGTACTAGCAGACGCTTTTGTTATAGTACGATTCAACTTTTTTCCAACCTTGGTCTCAATATTAAGTGCTCATAAAAGTGCTCCATTTTTTATTTGTTTAATTGCAATATATGTATGTAATCACACCAACAACTAAGTCCTTGAATATTTTAATTGTTTCGACTTTTCAATTAAGAGTTTTTGATGGAGTTTTTTAATACCATATGAAAAATTTTGGTGTCATGTTCAAATTAACAAGGTATTTTACCTGTGAATAATTCCTCAAAATTTTGTTTAAAAAAATTGTTGAAATTGGCAACTTGAGATGGTAATTGCGCTCAGTTTACCCACTTGCCTCTGGTCTAATTACAGAACGCTCATTATGTATTTCGATATGTATTATATAAAGTGGTTCAATAATCTACTTAAGAAAGATATCTATTCTGCGGGTCTACCATTGGTATATATTTATCAATAATATATTTAAATGCTTGTGACACGTTTCTCACCATGTTTAAGACGTATTATTTTTGCATGTTAACAAACGATTTGTGCACGTTTAAGCTATATCGTATATTTCAATGCTTTAGGAAGTTTTTTCGATTTTCCCGTTTGATAATGCTAGGCCATCTGAAAAGCCCAATGGAAAGGTGGCTATGAGTTTGATTCCAGCATGCGAGGGGAGGAGGAAGGGCCGCGCAGTGTATGGTATTATAAAGGGTTCATCCATCTATACTTTTGGTAACGGGCGTTTTTCGTTAGCGTTTATATCACCCAGTTTGAATTTACGAGTAATATGGCAAGGTACCGTCAGAAATCTCCCAGGAAGTTACAAAAGTGGCCTCAAGACTTGAATTCCAAAATCTTCCTAGTTTACCCTTCCGATAGCAAGGGTATTGCAATCGGGTACTAGACTTTTGTCCACTGGACTCATTGAACTGGTGGTACCTTGGTTCATAGTGAATTCAAATTTTGGTGTGTCTTTTACACACTTAGCCTGATGTTAACGAATCCTGGTGGGACGGCAAAGGCCTGGGTTTGAATCTGACCAGGACCAGTTTTTTTCAAACGGTAATTGTTCCGGTTCAAAAAAAATTCGGCCGATTATTTTTCTTCTTATGTGTTGTCGGCTTATTTGCCACATCTAAGAATTGCTTTTTTTCGTTGTAAATAATTTTAACTGCAGTTGTTCTCAGCGTTTTGAAAATCCAGCTAAATTGAAAGTTGCTTTCCACATTGGTTGTAGTTTTACCAGCTCGATTTGTTAAAATTTCTTTTTTCCATTATTTTTCGTCTTTTCTATCGGCTGAATAAATTGCGGCCTAATTATTATCATATTAGTGGCCTCTTATTGCGTCGTTACGCCCGAAAAAAAAGATAAAGGGAAAAAGGACGTGGCATCTTTTATAGGTTAAGAATTTTTCTGGATTTCTTTCTGCATGAAGGGTTACTGCTCAGGTTTTTTCCGCTTTGTTACCGCGAACTATAAATTCAAATCAAATCTGGCGTAGAGGTAAAACAACTGCTTGAGACGGCAAAGTTTTGCTGTTCGAATCCGGCCGGATGACCCCCATGCTTGAGACGACAAATTTCGGGAGTTCAATTTCAGCTGGAACTTGTTTTTCTTGCAAAAAGAAAATTTTGGCTAATATAGGTTGTCTGTCTGCCTATTTTTGTCTGCTTTATTCCACAGAAAGGACTATTTTTTGAAAATTTGGCTTCTTTATAGCATTCTCAAAGCTTTTTGTAGAGTTTCTTATGGTGCAGGCAATTTTGTTCCCTATATTTTGGGCTTTTGTAGCAATTTTTGTTGACAAAAACAACTCTTTGATTTTTTTTGTTTGCGTTTCATAGTCGTTCATATTTGTAGCGCAAGTGGCGCGAAAATCAGCTTCAACTCTATGTGAGACATTGCAATTTTTGTGAGTTTCCCAAAAGTTTTCAAAATGATTTAGATTTAAAATTTGAAAACTTCTCAAAATTCTTAACCCTACAGTTGCGCAATAATATCAGGTTGCTCGGACGAGGTTATATCTGGCCTTTCCGAGGTATGTCTTTATCGTGTTTCAAAAGTTTTCAAATCTAATTGCAAAGAATACCTGAAAAATTGAAATTGCCGACGCTTTAGTGGGATGATAGCAAGGTACTCCCAGCAGTTACAGTACTAACCTGTGATTCAGGCGGATTTAGAGGAGGGCGGACGCCCCCCCTCTCTCTCAGGGATTTGACCATCTGCCGACCCAAAGGGTTCCCCCTTTGTACTATTTTTTTGCGATATCAATTTTTGGTGACGGACCCTAAAAATTATCCAAAGGCTCCAATATATACTAAATTTGAGTGAAGAGCGCGCGCCAAAAAAACGCGATTTTTTGGTCAAAGTTTAACTGCAGTTGTTTTCAGCGTTTTGAAAATCCAGCTAAATTGAAAGTTGCTTTCCACATTGGTTGTAGTTTTACCAGTTCGATTTGTTAAAATTTCTTTTTTCCATTATTTTTCGTCTTTTCTATCGGCTGAATAAATTGCGGCCTAATTATTATCATATTAGTGGCCTCTTATTGCGTCGTTACGCCCGAAAAAAAAGATAAAGGGAAAAAGGACGTGGCATCTTTTATAGGTTAAGAATTTTTCTGGATTTCTTTCTGCATGAAGGGTTACTGCTCAGGTTTTTTCCGCTTTGTTACCGCGAACTATAAATTCAAATCAAATCTGGCGTAGAGGTAAAACAACTGCTTGAGACGGCAAAGTTTTGCTGTTCGAATCCGGCCAGATGACCCCCATGCTTGAGACGACAAATTTCGGGAGTTCAATTTCAGCTGGAACTTGTTTTTCTTGCAAAAAGAAAATTTTGGCTAATATAGGTTGTCTGTCTGCCTATTTTTGTCTGCTTTATTCCACAGAAAGGACTATTTTTGAAAATTTGGCTTCTTTATAGCATTCTCAAAGCTTTTTGTAGAGTTTCTTATGGTGCAGGCAATTTTGTTCCCTATATTTTGGGCTTTTGTAGCAATTTTTGTTGACAAAAACAACTCTTTGATTTTTTTTGTTTGCGTTTCATAGTCGTTCATATTTGTAGCGCAAGTGGCGCGAAAATCAGCTTCAACTCTATGTGAGACATTGCAATTTTTGTGAGTTTCCCAAAAGTTTTCAAAATAATTTAGATTTAAAATTTGAAAACTTCTCAAAATTCTTAACCCTACAGTTGCGCAATAATATCAGGTTGCTCGGACGAGGTTATATCTGGCCTTTCCGTGGTATGTCTTTATCATGTTTCAAAAGTTTTCAAATCTAATTGCAAAGAATACCTGAAAAATTGAAATTGCCGACGCTTTAGTGGGATGATAGCAAGGTACTCCCAGCAGTTACAGTACTAACCTGTGATTCAGGCGGATTTAGAGGAGGGCGGACGCCCCCCCCCTCTCTCAGGGATTTGACCATCTGCCGACCCAAAGGGTTCCCCCTTTGTACTATTTTTTTTGCGATATCAATTTTTGGTGACGGACCCTAAAAATTATCCAAAGGCTCCAATATATACTAAATTTGAGTGAAGAGCGCGCGCCAAAAAAACGCGATTTTTTGGTCAAAGTTTCCCAAAAAGTGCCTAAAAACGCTTTTGGAAAATTAGGCCAAAACGGTCTTTTTACTGCTTCGGGAAAGCTCAGAAAATCAATTTGGTCGACCAAAAAAAGGTCGACAAATTTTTGAACATTTTTTGTAAATCTGCCCCCCCCTCAAGAAAATCCTAGATCCGCCCCTGGTATGATTGCTCAAACTGTTTTTGTTTCCGAGACGTGATTTTTTTGATATTTTAGAATTGTTGGAAATTTTGAATTAAAAATAATTCTCATTTTCAAACTGTCGACTCTATGGCGGGTGATCATAAGTTACTCCCAGGTGTTGCAAATATGGTGGTGGCTCATTTTTATGTCTTCTCAGATCAAACCAGCCGTCCATTCGTTCATCCGCCGATCCATTCATTTAGCTATCTTTTCATCTAGCAGTCCATCCATACATGCAGCCATTAATTCATCAAGTAAACCCAATTAGCCAGCCATTCAGCCATTGATGCATCAATCCACTCAACTACGTAGAAATCCATCTAAACAACCATCCATTCATCAAGCCTTTCACTCGTCAAGCGATTCATCCATCTAACTAGCCTTAAGTCAATAATTTAATCGGCCCATTCATTCAGCCATCCATCTATCAATCAAGCCAACCAACTATCCATCAAACGAGTCATTCAATAGGCATCCATCCAATAGCCAATATGAGTTCATTAATAGTCATCCAGCAGCCAGCCATTCATCCATACAGTCAGCCATCAAGCCAATCATTCAACTATCGGCCCATCCATCGAAGCATGCATCGATCAAGCCGCCCATCCATGTAACACTCCAGCCATCCAGCAAGCCATTCATTCGTCAAGCAATCCATCCATCTAGCCATCGACCTATCAAGTCTTCCATCCATATAATCATTCGTCCATTCAACCAGCAATTCAAACAGCCGTCAATCAAGTCATCTGGCTACCATTCATCAAACTATGCATCCACCCAGCCGAGCGTCCATCTATACGTCAAGCCATTCATGCATCAAGCAAAAAAGTCCTCCATCCGGCCAGCCATCCGGCAGCCGTCCATTTATCTATCCTTGCACCCACTCACCCAACCAGCCATTCAACCATCCATTCATCTGTCTGGCCATTTATATATTCGGCCAGCTTTCCATCCATCTAGCTGTCTTGTCAGCCATTAACCTATCTAGCCATTCAACCAAACAGTCATCCAGCAAAAAGTCCATCCACTCGTCAATTCAGCCATTCATCCAACCAGTCATCCATCAAACATTCCATACATGCGACCAGTCGTCATTCGATCCAGCCATCACTAGCCTTCCATTTAGACAGCAATTTCTGCATCTATCCAATTATCCATCCAGCGTTCAATCCATTTATTAATCCGGCCATCCACCTAACCATCAATCCTACTTTTGAAGATAAACGTCATTATTCAGCAGCAGTTTTAGCTGCAGTCGGACTTTTAGTTCTTTGAAACATTTTTTTTTGAATATTTTTTTCCTTAGAACCAGCTACCCATCAGTCCTTTTTTTCTGAAGATAAACGTCATTTTTCAGCAGCAGCTTTATCTGCAGTCTGACTTTTAGTTCTTTGAAATATTTTTTTGAATATTTTTTGCTTTTTTAAGATGATCTTTTTGGTCGGTATCCTCTACAAGTTTTGCATAAAAAAACTGTTTCCCTTGTTTCTATTGCGGGAGTAATTTCAATATTTTTTTGTTTTCCTATAAAATAAAGTTTTTTTTATTGAAACGCATAAAAGGGCTTTTTTAGGCGTTTCAGAATTATCGGATTTGTTACCGTTTTCTGGTTTTGTTTCGATGCTAATTTGACATTCAATTGTCTTACTTCGCATGTGTTTCTTTTAATTTGTTTTATGAAGACAAGTCAAGATAAAGACATTAAATTTTTGGAATATCTAGTTTGTTGGATTCTCTTTCATTTTGACCAAATTATTCGACTTTCTGCTCTTTTTCTGTGGAATAGTCTGGCTCGCTATATTTGTGCTGTATTGCCAATGGTGCGAAAATCGGCTTCACCTCTATATTTTGGAAAGTTTATTTGTATGATTTAATACAAATTGTCATAAAATTTTTTGGTCAAATAGACCGAATGTGTTTAAAACGTACTTTTCCTCAAAATTATGGTTTTTTCTATATTTTCGGTGGAACTCGAAAAATTGAAATGGCTGTTTTCAAAAAATTATAAGCTAAATGTTTTTATCCACCACACCAAAATAAAGTTTTGTGCGCGCTACTGATTCTGAATTTTGTTAAAGACTCAAAGAGGTCAAGAAAAAGAAAGAAAAGCAGCGTCAGCTACTCGATTCAGAAGATGTACTGAATGACCTCGAAGAGTTACAGCTGAGTGAAACAATTCCCGAGGACGGAACAAATGGGCTGAGCTTTGAAGCAAGGCTTGTATCCGTGTCGAATATCAATGAAAAGCGAATATCAAACTACTCCAACACCAGCGAAGGAAGTCATGTTACCGATACAGGTTTAGCTGTTTTTTCACTTATAAATGCAAAATGTTTTCTCAATGTTTAGAGATGATGCAAGACCGTTAATTTGCAAGTTTCACCGCTACAATGAACCAACCCGACCCAGATACTTGCGTAAATAGTTAAATTAAAAGCCGTTTTCTACTTGAATGATCAGTGTTTATGTCGCAGTATTCGCATGGTTGACTTTAATTAAACCATACTACAGTTTTTGCAATCCTAGCCTTTCATGCGGTAAACCAGTATAAAACGCCATCCATAATTTTATAATTTGAAGTTGTTTTTCTTTTCACGTGCAGTGCAAAGTTTCAGATGTTATTTTGAGTCGATGAACGTAGTTCAGACTCTTTACTTTTTCACGGTTTGACTTTTGATTTCTTTCTAAGTTCAGTTCATTTCCTTTGTTAAAAGGAAGGCAAACTCCACTATCGAAAGCAAAAGTGTAAATGTCACGAAAAACGTATTCCACTTCTTGTTTCGAAAGTGGAATTTAGTTTTCAGGTTTCGCAGCAAACGAAAAAAATTGGGTTCATACATCAATTGTTCAAGAATTTCAAAAATCTTTAAGGGCATCTATTTGTTTTTCTTTGAAGTTCGAAAGTTGATGGTTCTTCAAAAAATGTGTTTGCGTGCGTTCATTGACTCTCTTCGAACTTTCTGTGGGCTATTTTTTTTTATAGTTTGGAGTGATTATTATCAAATCACAGGCAAGGCAAAACCCAAGCAAACGTTTTTAAAACAAATTGTATTCGACCATGCAATTTTTCGTATTTTATGTTGTTTATTCATTAGGCAAAATGAAAGTTCATACATATGAAAAACGTGGGTCATGAATTGGTCTGTTTTAGTTGGTGGTAGTAAAAGTAGCAGTGAGAACGTGGAGCTGATTAGGGACTCGTTCTTCGTATATGACGAGGAGACAGAAGAGGCTGTGGAGATGAACTTGGATGACATCGACAATCTATTGCTGCTGTTCTTCCACACTGTCACCATGGAAGCATTCGAACTCATACTCAAACTCATCAACAACTCCACCATCAAAGGTGAACGCCATACTTGATCAATTGTTTGTACGATTTTTTGCCAAACCTTAAAAATAGTGATAATTTACAAGAGTTATTTCGAGAGAAAGTGGTGCTGTTTACATCTCGCTTCCGAAATTGTTGAAAAAAAATTAATAAAAAAGAACTTATGATACAGTATTTACATGCGATCTCAAACAGACTAAATTATTTCGTAACTATTGCCGCAATTCATTTTAAAATGCGTTTTCAAAAGTGAAAGCTAAATTGTGCAAGGGGAGCCAAAATTGCCAACAAAAACTTAGAGATCATTTGCAATAACTTAAGGCAAGAAATCGTTTTCAGTGGACCATCAGCATTCTGAAAGTGGTCTGACAGTGCTGATGATAGCTTGTGCCCATGGGAAAGTGGATCTGGTACACAGTCTGCTGAAGATGGGCGCATCCCCCCACCTGACGGACCAGGAGGGAAAGACTGCCGTGGACTACGCAGTACACAATCAGCACTACAATGTCGAACACATACTGAACGAGTACTCTAAGTAAGCAATAAGCTCATGTTTTTAGTTCGCATGCTTTAACTGCAGTTTGGAGTAGAAGAAAGCTTTTTTTATATATTCAAAACATTGTTTCACTTTTTTTGAAAATAGATTTTTTTTGTATTTCTGCTTCATTTTTCATTTTGTCAAGCGAGCTTGTGAGCCTAGTGTTATGGCCAGTCCATTTTTTTAAACCCAACTTGCACTGTGGCTGCTATTTGGAAGAGTGGGAGAATATGGCTCAATTGTCAAGATATTAGACCTAAAGTTTGCAGTTAGGAGAGTCAAATGCCGAAGGCAGCAAATACTTTTTTATTGTCAGATATCGTGAAGACACTTTTACAGATAGTGTTGAATATTTTGAGGACAAAATTTTAGAAGTTGTTCATGCTTAGTTTTGGATTTTTTTAAATTTTTTGAAGTTCAATTCAAAATCAAGTGCTGAAAAAAGGCAATTAATTCTCTTCAATTTTGCAAGTGGACTTGGCGCAAAAATGTGAATGATTTTTTTGCTTCAAAAATAATTTTTAATTTCAAGAATTTCCTGCGGCATGAAAAAGTTGTTCTCAAATTATATCAAAGTCTAGGCTTTATCAAAAGTGTTTAAGTTCTTGAAACTTATTAAGAGTAATGAAAGCAATGAAGACTCTTATATAGTCTTGCTTATTATTTTTTTCGTTTTTTTTTTCAGGAAAAAGTTTTTTAAATGCTCATTTAAAAAACTACAGATGTGCATTCATACATAATGATGCACTTATGTATATCTGTGCTTTTTGGATTCAATTGAACTTCATATACTGAAAGTGACGTAAATAGCACTCTCGCAATACAAACGTGGAAATGGCGCGAAAAAACGTGAACGATTTCTAGTTTCGAAAGTGGAATTGAATTTTTAGATTTCCAGCGGAATAAAAACTTTACCTGTTGATCGTGTTTTCTCAAGTTGGGTTAATGTTGTCAAAAAACCGCCAATCATTAATCTTTTTATAGAAATTCAAAGAGCTGAAAGGGCATCTATTTTTTTAATTTGAAAATCGAAAGTTGAAATTTTTTCAACCAAGTAAGTGTTTTTTTATATTTACTTAAGTTCATTACTCTTTTCCAATATTCGATTGGCTTCGATTTTTCAGCTGATATGTTTTTTTTAGAAACTCAAAAATAATTATCTTTTTCTGGCCTCCTTCTATATTGGCTACGATTATTTTCCAAAGCTTGTTTTTGCGTTTTTGCTATTCTTTTTCATTTCTATCAATTGTTGCAGTTTCGAGTTTAATTTAGTTGCCATTTACTTAAAAAATAGTAGAAAATTAGAAAACAAGTAAAGTAACTTTTTCAAATTTTTTTTTGCTATTTACGAGTCAATGATTGCAGTGAAGACTCTTATAAAAGAGGTCTTGATTTTTTTTTTCAGGCAAAAGTCTCAAAGATTTTTCATCCTCAAATTTGATTTTTCGCGTTTTGTCTTATGATTTTTTAAGTTCAGCTCACTTCCTTCGCTTAAAGGAAAACAAACTATCGAGCAGCGAAAGTGTAAAAGTCACAAAAAACTTGATCGACTTCTAGTTTCGAAAGTGGATTTTTATTTTCAGAATTTCCAGCAGAATAGAAATCACATATTGATCCAGTTTTCTCAAATTGAGTTAAATTTATCAAAAAAAAAAAAATTCTGTTTCCTAGCGTTCATTGACTTTTTTTCAACTTTTTGGGCTATCCTTGTAATTTGTTCAAGTTGATTTTCTTGCAAGCCATACTTCTGTGTTTTTTGAATTTTCAAGTTGTTCATCATTGGAGTTCATTTTTTTGCTTAGATTGATTGAAGTTGCTGAAGACGAGGAAGCAAAAGAAGAAGGATCGACACTTGTAGATGAATATGTTCGATCTTGCAGCATGGAAACTGAAAACGTAGATCACGATCTAATTATGCAGGTCATTATATATATAGTTTCTGATTTCACGGCGCCCGAGTTCGACAACGGAGCCATTTTAGTTTTCCTACCTGGGTACGAAGAAATATCACGAATGAAGATCCTAATCGAGGAACACGACGTACTAGGTGACCAATCCAATTTTAGAGTGTTCGTTTTACATTCGAATATCAAGAGTGAAGATCAAAAACGCGTGTTCCAGCATTATAAAGAGAGGAAGCTGATTTTATCCACGAACATAGCGGAGACGTCGTTAACTATTGATGACGTCATTTTTGTAGTGGATCCAGGGAAGACCAAACAAGTAAGTGGTTAACTCGCCAAAAAAATCGTGCAAAAAATTCGCTTGCTCAAAATCAATACAAATTAAGTATTCTCTATTGAATCGCGCTAAAAATGTCATATATCCTATAAAATCCATAACATGAACGAGCTGCAGGTTTCTAATTTGATTTGCCGAAAACTAAGATACCACTAAATGTTTTTTTAAAAATTACAATTAACATCTTGAGTTCTATATTCCCTCTTTTCTGATTAAGTGTCAATCAACTTTACAAAGATCGTATCGATTTTTTTTTCAGGAGAGCATCTAAAATGTTCCTCATTTCTGATTTTTTGAGTTTTGTTTATAAAGCAGAAGATTTCAACTGGGCTTGCTATTGACCCAGTTCTGTAAATAGAACCTATCAGTCCCAAAAAACGTGTCAATAAAAAAGATTCTTGAAATTCCAAGAGCTATAATCCCTATGTTTATAAGTGTAAAAGAACCAAGTTTCCTTTATATAGGTCTTGGTGATTTCTGATGTTTGTTTTTTTTTCGAAAAAAAGTCTTAAACTGCCCGGATAACTACAGGAGTGCAATCATCTATATTAATGCATTTATGAATGCACATAGGTATATATGCACTTTTTGTGTTCTGCTCAAAGTAATGTAAATTGCCCTCGCCACTTACTAACATGGAAATGACGCGACAAAACGTTACGGACTTCTAGTTTCGTAAATGGATATAAAATTAAAGATTTCCCAGTGGAATAAAAAAATTTACACTTTGGCTCAGTTTTCGTAAATTGGGCTAGTTTTATCGAAAAATTGTCAATCATAAATTGTCCTCGAAATTCAAAGAGATATATTTTTATCTTTAAAATTCGAAAGAGTATAAGTGTCTATATCATTTTTTTCGGTTTCCTTGTTCCAACTTTCTAATATTTTTCTGTTTTTTTAAGGGAAAAACTCAAATTTGTTCATGTTCTTGTTTCGTTGTTCTAGCGAGAGATGGATACTCAGAGTAGTCTGTCGTACAGTCTGCAAGTGTGCTGGGCCAGTCAGGCTAATGTCAAGCAAAGGGCAGGAAGAGCGGGCAGAACGAGGCCAGGATATGCATTCCACCTATTCTCAAAGACCAGGTACAGCCCCAATAGGGACAGTAAGACTTGTGACTTGAATTTTTGTATCTTAAGCCAGGGGTCGAGGTATATAAGAATGCATGCTCGAGTCTGTTGTAATAATTATCAGCCCAGAAAACGAGTGAAAATGAATTTAGGTCGTAAATGAGGTCACATGGGTATCAACGGGAACATCTAACTTGCATGTCGGTCCTTTTTTGGATAATTGAGGCTAACTTTTAAGTAAAACAAGAACAAAATGGCGAAACCAAATCATTTTAAAATGGTTAACGTTTCATTTTAAAACTTTCCGCAAGACTCATCGAATTCGGTTAGTGAGTTAATGGAAGTTTCCTTGTATTATTTTGGTTTAGGTTCGAAAGCATGAAGGACTTTACTTCTCCAGAGATCCTCAGATACCCTCTGAATGACCTCTGCCTGCAGACGAAGATAGTATTTCCAGATAACAAACATTCCATCAGCGACATTCTAACCTCTGTGCCAGACGCCCCTCCCCAGACTTCAATCACATCGGCTCTCAAACATCTCAAAGTGAGCATATTTTTGTAGCGATAGCTGAATTTGAAAGTTAGAAGCCTTGGTTAATTTGTATTTTTGTCTGAAATTCAAGAAAATTAAAGTTGTTTTTCTTGTGGATAAATGCGGAGTGAGTTCAACCATTAATTACTCAATGAAAAGACTTTGGTATATATTGGACGAGGATTTTGTTTGTGTTTCAGGAGATCGGAGCTTTAGATAGTAATGAAAAGATGACATCATTGGGCAATTTTCTAGTCAAAATGCCTCTGGATCCAGACTTGGCAAGGATGGTTCTCTACAGTCTTGTTTTCAGATGCCTAGACCCAGTTTGCATCATAGCTGCCACGCTAGCTTATAGATCACCTTGTGAGTGCATCTCAAATTGAAGTCAATGCAATATTAGTTCACTCGATCAGTTCTAAAGAAAATAGTGTCCAGGAATTTTCTTGCTTTTTTTTCTTCAATTTTTGATACCAAATTCATATCTTAATTCAGAATTTCCATAATTCAATTCAACAAGTTGATATCGTTGCAACAGCTATTTATGAAAAAAAAATCAGTTAACATATGTTTAGTTTATTTGCCGCCAAGCAAGCGTCTCATAGACGAGGCAGAGAGAAAGCGGAAGAAACTGTCATTCAACAGCCAATCAGATCACTTTGTGCTTCTCTTCGCTTTTCTAGTCAGTGAGTGATTCCTGTTTTCTAAGTCGATTTCTCATTTCGCTGAAAAACGTATCTTATTTTTGTAGACATGGAGTTCTTACATATCGAGTGGGAAGCATGCAAAAGCAGACGAGTTCTGTTATAGTCATCATTTGTCGGCACCAGTGTTGCAAGTGATCGATAAGAGTAGATTGCAGATAATTCGACACTTAGTGTCACAAAGAGTCATCAAAAACCCGAAGAGCTACGTGTATTATAACTCAAATGCACAATTAACTTCTTGTGTCAGAGTAGGTCTTTTTTATCATTCTTCGAATTTTCTCAGTTTTCAGTGACGCTGAAGTAGTTTCTGAATTTCAGGCTTCAATTTTTGCGGCTTTCGCTCATTCAACTGTTCTATATGACACAAATCGAGGAAAATATTGTGCCGAGTGAGTTTATTTTATGATATATACATGAAAATTTCTAACATTTAGCATGAAATCAAAATGTGTATTGTTGAATTTCGTTCTAGCTGGAGCAACAATCTGAAAATTCATAGAGCAAGTGCCATCCTCCAATCCGCTCCCAAACTCCCTTCGTGTCTATGTTGTGATGAAATCACGAGAGGGGTGGGGCAACCTATGGTCAAATCAGCCACGGCTGTCAACCCGATCATGCTTCTTCTCCTCTCGAATACCATAGAGTCGATTGAGTCAGCAACTGATGATTTCTGCCTGTTTCGCATCTCTAAAACTGTTCAATTGACATGTGATCGTAAGTTGTCAGATATTATTCTGGAGGCACGTAAAGCAGTTCGACATATTGTAGTGTCAATGACAGAGGGAGCTTATGTCAACAAAGAATTTCAAGTGAGTGGTCTCGAGCTACTCTTGTTTCGATTTTTTCAAAAATTTCTAGACCAATTTCAAGTTAGTTATTATGCTTGAAAACAACCGCTATAAAATCGGAACAAGCTAGATTAACGAAAGCACTAAATCATTTCGCCAACAAACCTTTCTTGTCAACAGATATGTTTTGAGCGTGTATGCATTTTGAACTCCTGGTCTACTTTCACAATTTATCTTGCGAGCTTTGTGTTACTAAATGAATGCTCATTTTGGTCGACTAGGATATTTACACTTGCGAAGCAAAGTGTATTAGTTCGAACTTTCTTTTTGTGCCAACCGAAGTCGCTAATAAAAGTGCTACTTTTGGTGACACTGTTGAATCGGTAGGCTGCGGTAGCAGTATAATATGTGCTTTGATATTTGTTTAGTAAAAAGTGAACAAAGCTGATGCATTTTTAATTCATCAAATGAAACGAAAAAAGCTATTTGTTTCAAACAGCAGTACAATGAAAAAAGCTCGATTTCAGAAATGTTCCAACTCAACGTATCTCGCATATTTTTGAAATGCATAATTTAAACATAATTTGGCTTTAAGCTTTTCAATTTATTAAATGCAAAATTGTGTCTTTTTGTATATGCATGCCACTTTTGCTGCATCGAATTGGCAATTTATTAGCATATGTAGCTGCGTTATTGGTGGCTAAATTTTTGGATTTTAAGCATCCGTGGCGGAGTGGTTACCGTGTGCGTGAGCCTCAAATTTGCTCGGTCGCAGATTCGAATCCGACACGTAGCCGAGTTTTTGCTAATTACGAGTAATGTACGAAGTGAAGACTCTTATATAGGTCTTGCTGATTTGTTTTTCATGAAAAGTCTGTAATAACTACAGATGTGCATTCATACATATTGATGCATTTATGAATGCACTTAGGTTTACAAGCTCTTTTTGAATTGAATTGAAATTCATCTGCTGAAAGTGACGTAAATAGCACTCTCCAAATACGAACGTCGAAGTGGCATGAAAAAACGTGTAAGATTTTTAGTTTCGAAAGTCGAATTAGAAAGAGCTTAAAGGGCGTCTATTTTTTTCTTTGAATTTCGAATTTGAAGTTCTTGCGTTCATTACTCTTTTCCAATTTTTGATTGGCTATGCTTTGACGTTTATTTCTGCTTTTTATTATTTCAATTGATAGAGCTTCTTTTTTATTCGTGTTCTCGCAAGTGTTTGCGAAGCGCAGCTTCGCCTCTGTGTCAATGCATGTGGTTCGATTCCCGTAGAGGGCATTTCTTTTTCATAACTCTTTGTTTTTTTATTTTCTTGCTTTTTTTCTCAGTTTGTTTTTGAAGCTACGTCTAGCTTCCGTGTCTGTGATGAAATTTATTATCATGTTGGTTGTAAGGCTATATTGGTTTTTTGAATTTTCTTTTTTATATTTTAAAGAACGGAATGGTTTCATTTTAGATTTTTTTTCAAGTAACGCTCATTTCCTTTGTTCAATTGTAGTCAAAATCCATTATCGATTAGCAAAAGTTTAAAGGTCACGAAAAACGTAAACGACCACTAGTTTCAATAATGGACTGTAATTTCGAGTCGATTAATCTAGTTCAGACTCTAATAAAGGTCGTGATGATTTTTTCAGGAAAAGTCTTGAATTTGTTCAGGCTCAAATTTTTTTTTCGCTGTTTGAGTTTTGATTTTTTCAAGTTCAATTCATTTCTTTTGTTAAAAGAAAGGCAAACTCCACTATCGAACATCGAAATTTTAAAGGTTACGAAAACTATAGTCGACTTCTAATTTCGAAAATTGAATTTAATTATCAGATTTTCCATTACAACAAAAACTTGCCTATTGATCCAGTTTTTTCGAATTGGGTTAATTTTATCAGGAATGTGTCAATCATAAGTTGTGGTAGAAACTTAAAGAGTTTTAAAGCTATCATTATTGTTCTTGGAAGTTCGACAGGTGCAATTTTGTTTTTTTTGTTTACTTGCGTTAATTGACTCTTTTTCAACTATCTGTTGGCATTGTTCTGAGTTCTCAGTTTTCTCTACATGGGTTATTTTAAGAAAAAAGGCCAATCGTTTGCATTGCTTGTGGCTCAAAGGACTTCGGTTTCTCTTGATGATTTTTTAGCTGGAAAAGATTCGGTAAGTCTTTTATCCTATGATGGCATTTGAAACTTGAAAGCTTCGAGAAAAGTTTTGAATTTTTTTAAACTCAAACTTTAGTATGGCAAAGATATGTTTTTGACATAACGGTCGTCGACCCAAGTGTTATCGGCTTAATAACCGAGTCAAAAATTGTTTCTCTGGCGAATTGGCTGCTGAAAAATGTCACTTTCGAACGGTTTCTCCTCAAAATTGTGCAAGTTTTGGTAGACCTAGTTTTTGAATTTTTTTCCGAACAATTTTTCGATTGAAAGTCCTTCGCTTAGTTTTTTTTTAACCGGGCAGCTTACAATACTATTTTTGATGTACTGGAAGTGGCGCGAAGCTCTGATTCGCTTCTGTGTGAAATAAGAAGAATTATTTGAATACCGAATTAAAAAGAATATAATCCATCGTTATTTTCTGATGCCATTTTTCGGATGCTCAAGATGATTCTCGATACCCAAAAATTATCATTTCTCGATACTCAAAAATTATCATTTCTGGAATTCGAACATGATCTTTTCTCGATGCTTAAAATGCGCAAAGCATCAAGAGATAAATTAAAGACTACTATGTTGAATTTGTTCCTAGTGCGTAATGGACTGTCTGATCGATGTTCTGGAGTCAGCAGAGCCACCTGAGATCGGTTATATTCCACCTTATCAGAACTTTTATCATTTTGGCGAATCGCTTTTTGAAGGACAATCGCAATATCGTCCACTTCAAAATGGGCCAGGATCACGTAGCACCAGCTCAACTGACAGGCGGAAGAAGAATTATTACAATCCTGGAATGAAGTTTTGAACGCCTAAAGTTATAAAATTATATTTCAAAATCCGCTAAAAATCATCCGAAATTTTTTTCAAATGATTTTTTGTTTCAATTGAACTTTGCAATAAGTTTTTTTGAGTTGCGATAAATGAATATATTCCTCTGTTTTATTTTATAAAGAGATTTTAGTAGTGTAGTGTGTATTGCGGAAGCTAAAATGACTAAATTAGCTTACATATTTTAAAGATTTCAATAGCATGAGCAAGTTATGGACAAATTCCTATTTTTCAGGTTTGAATTGTTTTTTGGTGTAATATGTCGGACAATATTTTGGCTTCTGAGTTGAATTCAGTTTCTCTTAAAGAGAATGAATCGAACGGCGGTTTGCCGTGGGTAGGTTTTAAACGAAACGACTACCTCTCATGGGACGAATACTTCATGTCGGTTGCCCTTTTATCCGCCCAGCGAAGCAAAGATCCGAACCGACAAGTCGGCGCTTGTGTCGTGAATTCCGACAACAAAATTGTCAGTGTTGGCTACAATGGGTTTCCAGTAGGCTGTGATGACGATGATTTTCCATGGGGGAAAAAGGGTGGATTTTTAGACACAAAATATGCTTACGTTTGCCACGCAGAAATGAACGCAGTCGTTAATAGAAATACAACTCAAGTGAAAGATTGTAGAATATATGTGACTTTATTTCCCTGCAACGAGTGCACGAAATTACTTATTCAATCGGGAATTAAGGAAGTTATTTTTGGGACGGATAGTTACCACGATGAAAAACAGTTCATAGCTTCTAGGAAAATGTTGACAAGCGCAGGAGTAAACGAACGCAAGTTTGTGCCTTTAAGAAAATCAATAACCATAGACTTCGAGTTTGACAAATCCTAAACTGACAAATAACCTGTTGCTGAAAATTGAAATTGTTTTAAGAACTGCAATATAAAGGCAAGGAGATTTTTTGAAATATTGTCAAATGTGTCTTGTTTCTCGGTGTAGTGTACTAATTTAGATTCATCTTTTATTATCGGTTTAGTAATTTGCTTTTTGATTAAAAAAATATTGCTCCGCTTCGTTTTCTTCGGTCTCCAGCAGAAAGCGTTAGCAAACAAAAAGTGGTCCAAATTAAATACAAATTGGGGAACATTTAATTAGAGCTGACTTTCAGCGTTGAAAAATACCGGTAACTTGCTTCAACCTGAAAATATATGATTCTAAGGCATCAATGTTCAATAAAAATCAGTATAATTGTACACTTCAGCAATTCTAAAACCAATTTTATAATATTAAAAATTGTGAAAAAACCACTCCGCATGAATTTGGATATAAATCCTGAAAAGGAGACTTATCGTGCTAATTTTGTGCACATTTGTCATCTTTTGTTGGACTTCGGGAGAATGGCTGTTCTGAAGATTTTGGAAGAAAAGGCGAAGCCTCAAACAGTTTGCCAGCTTGTACTGAGTTGCAAAAGTGACTTCAAGAAGTTCAAGAGAAAAGTATTGAGTCAAAGTCAATGGAAACTGCTCTACCCAGATGCGAAGGTTAGTAAACAGTGGGATAACGTAAATAAAACAAGTATGATTACTTTCAATGGCAAGAATATTGTAATTGATTGGATTACGGCATCGCAAGAGTTTCTTGCCTTGTTAGTTGGTACAAAGATGAATATATAGTTCGGTAAATAATGTTATTATTTCTACTCTGGCTGTTGAAAATAGCTGTTTTTTATTCATGCATTAGAAATGTACTGAGATTCCCAATTTCTTAATCTGTTTTTCATCTCAATAAGAAAAAGGCTATTTTTTGGCTAAGTTTCGTTTTTTTTTGTAGAAAGCAATTAAATCATTTGCGATTAAATTTCTGATCAGCGGAAACCATATGCAATTGTTTATCCTACATTTGCCTTTATTAGTCTAACTTAGATATATAAATGAATGTAATAAATGGTGAGCTATGTTTTTTACCCGTTCTAAAGATTGAATTCAGTGGTAAGGTAAGGCTTTGAGTTAGGCTCTGACAATTCTTAGAGATTTTGAACTGTTCGACAAAACCAGAATACTTATAATTTAAAACAGCTTTTTGTCATTCCATTGCAATGGTCAAGGAACAAAACCAGTTGACGTAAGCATATGCTTGTTGAATTCAAACTGTATGTTGACCTTATAAAATGTTCAATATCATAATATCTACACAAGACAGCGTTAGTGTATTAATACGCACCTTTTTTTTCTAACCTAAATCTCAAATATAAATGTTCATTAAAAGTGTTCACTTATTTAGTGGCATTTTTGCTATAATCACGATCTGCAGCATTGGAAATTTCATAGCATCTGTTCTCTGCTTTATTTGTGGCTAGTTTTTTGTGAGATCGACTTGAGCATGCCTAATTCTAAAATCATCAATGACTTTTCAAAAATAAGGACTCGGAATGAATGTGTTGCAAGAGATTGGGAAGTCAGCTACATTCAATTTATTAATTTGTTGAAATAAGTTACAAAAAATACAAAAGCTTGAACTCAGAAAAGAAAAGTTAACAGACTAATTTTTTTAAGCTCAGCTCAGCTCCAAAAAAAGAATTTCCAGCTCAGCTCAGCTCCAAAAATTTCCAGCTCAGCTCCAAAAAAGGAGTTAATCTCTTTTTCAGTAAATTAGCTTTTTTTTCATCGCTTAAGGTCGATTCCCAATATTTGGGGTTCGTTCAAAATTTCGGAACGATGGTTGCAAAAAAAAGATAATGTCCAATTTTTTATCCTGATATGTGCATTAGAGTCGGAAGTATATCTAGTGCGAAGTTCCCACGTGAAAAAAAAAACTGTTTTAATCATCTGTATTTGTTATACAAAAGATATGCTACGTCATTTTTCATTCACATCTTGAACTCTATACAGTGGTCCAGTAACCTACAGCTTTATCAAACGAAACGAAAAATGACTACCATAAAGTTTTTAGATCACTTTTATTTGTATTATGAGACAAAGCATCTATGAATTTAATGATTGTCTTGTTTACGAGTCATGAACGTAGTGTATACTCTTATATAGGTCTTGGTGTTTTTTCAGGAATTTCTTTAAATTTATATTTCGAGGTTTGAATTTTGATTTTTTTATTTAACTTTATTTCTTTTGTTGGAAGCAAGGCAAACTCGACTATTGAGCAACAAAAGCGTACAAATCACGAAAACATTTTAAAAAATGATAGTTTTCAGACTTTCCAATGGAGTAAAAACTTACCTTTTGATCCAGTTATCTCAAATTGGGTTAATTTGATCCAAAAAAGTCTGAAACATAATTAGTCATTGAAATTCAAAAAGCTCAAATAGGGTTTTTTTTAGTATTTTTCATAGATTTTTAGGTGTACCCACTATTTTCTCGAAAACGGATAGACATCGGAGTGCCATCTTTCCAGTTCGAACTCATTACCCCTAGGAGGTTTCTGGAGACATACTGTTTTTTTGTAAAAAAAAAAACAGAAGGCACGACCATTCCAGGGCGTACCACATGCAACACAAAGTTAAATGATGACGAGGTATGCCGATGCTTGAACACGTGAATTGGTTAGTCAAATGCTCAAAAATGAAACGCCTAAAAACTAACGTGGCAAGAGAGTGGAGCTGGTATTGAAGTTTGCCCGCATTAGAAGATCGCTCGCGTATCAAGACAATGTACTGAATGCTCAGATTGCCCCTTTATCTGTATTTAATAGCTACTGCTGAAGGAAATACTATAAGAAACATAATTTAAGTATTTCCGCATAAATGCGGGATAATATGCATTGCATAAATAAATCGCGTAATGCCTTCAGCATCATTGATAAAATCTTCACAGCGCACATAAATTAGTCCAAAAAATTGCCGTATTGATAATTTATAAATCCTTAGAAGTTCACAAAATTAATCCAAGAAAGTTTTTTTTTCTTAAATTTGAAATAAAGGAGCCCAAATCTGCAATGGAATTTAAAAGTTGTTATAAAACTTTGCATTTTTTTGAAGTCATAATAAACTGAGAAATAGGTTTATGCCTGATTTTTAGTTATAAGATTAGTTTTGATTTTTAGAATTCCTAGCGAAATGAAAACTGTTTTCGATACTCACTGTTTTTGTTTATATAACTTCAAGTTCAGGTCTCATTGACGTGAAAAATTGGATGTTACTCAAAAAGGTAGTTTTTACCTTTGCGATAGGCAAGAGTTTTGCAATCGGATGCTAGACTTTTTTCCCGTAAACACCTTTGTCCTCACTTCTAGACAATCTCCTCTTCTAGAGGATCTTCATTTTTCGAGGATCTTTGCTTTTCAGTTTGTAAAAATTTTTCAAAAAAGTCTCATTTTTTTCGGGTTCGTGGCTTTTGTCCTAGTTTCTGTTGGTTTCTTTAATGTTTTTTTAACGCTATTTTTATCTGGTGGAAGTTCTATTTGTTTGTATATTAAAGCATGGGTTTTTCTCCAATTTAAACAGTTTTTGCTATAACTGAAACTTCACAAAAATGTAAATTTATCATGTCTGATTTTAAGTTTTTTTTTTTCGTTTTTTTTTCAATTATTTGAACAGTTACAGTATATGGTATTTCGATTCAATCAAGTTGTTTTGCGTTAACTGGAGTTATTTTAATCAGTACTTTCTCGAATACGGATAGGCTTCGGAGTGCTATCTTTCCAGTTTGAACTCCTTACCCCTAACAGGGTTCTGGAGACATACTGATTTTTTGTTTTAAAAAAAGCATAAGGAACGAAGATTCCAGGGAGTACCACATGCAAAACAAATTTAATTGATAGCGAGATATGCCGATGCTTGAACACGTAAATTGGTTAGTCAAATGCTCAAAAAAGAAACGCCTAAAAACTAACTTGGCAAGAGAGTGGAGCTGGTATTCAAGTTTGCTCGTATTAGAAGATTGCTCGCGTATCAGGACAAAGCACGTTTATCCAGATTGAACGTTTATCCGTATGTGATAGTTACTGCTGAAAGAAATCATAAAAAAAACATAAATTTAGTTTTTCCGCTGAAGCGCGGGATAAAATGCATTGCATAAATAAATAGCCTAGCGCCTTCGGCATCAATGATCAAATCTTCAAAGCGCACAAGAATTAGTCCAAAAAATTGCTGAATTTGTAATTTTCAAAGCCTTAGAACTTTACAAAAACAATCCAAAGAAGAATTTTCTCTTACATTTGATTCAAGTGTCTGCAATGGTATTTTAAAAATTGAGATGAAACTTTGCATTTTTATTGAAAGTCATATTTAAGTGAGAATGAATTTTAGGCTTTATAAGAGTAGTTTTGATTTTGAGAAATCCGAGGGGAATGAAAACTGCTTTTGATACTGTCTGTTTTTGTTTATATAATGTCAAGTACAGGTCTCATTGTCGTGAAAAATAGGAAGTTACTGAAAATTGTAGTTTTTACCATTGCGATAAGCTAGAATTTGCAATCGAATGCTAAATTTTTTCCCGTAAACAACTTTGTCCACACTTCTAGACAATCTTTTCTTCTAGAGGAACTTCAATTCTCGAGTATTTTCAAGTTTTAAGTTGTAATCATCTTTCAAAGAAGTTACTCAATTTTTTCGGGTTAGTGGCTTTCGCCCTAGTTTCTATCGGTTCATTTCATGATTTTTTACACGCCATTTTTTTCTTGTAGAATTTTTATTGGTTTGATTTTTAAAGCTTTGTTTCAATTAATACAGTTTTTTGCTATAACTGAAATTTCACAAAAATGTAAATTTACCATGTCTGATTTTGAGTTTTTTATTTTTCGTTTTTTTTTTCAAATATTCAAGCAGTTACAGTTTATGGTATATTGACTGAGTCAACTTAATTTGCGTTATTTTGAGGGCAAAAAAAAATTTTCATTTGGGATTTTGTTTCAGTTAGGATGGGTCGTAAAAACTTTTAAATTTTATGAGTTTCAATATGACAACAGTTTTGTTTTCGGCGCAACAGTTTTCGACCCA